TGTGTGCTCACGAGAAAGACAGAGAGAGACAGAGAGAGAAAGCGAGGAATCACTCTCCAGGGGGGATGGCCATGCCGCAATCCCTTCTCCATTCTCCTCTTGGGATCATGGGCACGCAAGCACATGCACCTGGTGTGAGTTTAAGCCACCAGGTTCGGGACGCGAATTGCGGTCGACTACATGGGAGTGACATAGCCATTATGCTAACTGCTGGTCCCCCATCTGTCTCTCTTTTATGAAGGAAATAAGTAGCTAAACATTTTTTTTAGGAAATGGAAAAGTGTAATTTAGTAAGAGCTCTGTGGATATGTAATGTATTTGAAACATACAAAATTTAATTATTTCTATGATCATCAAGTTAACATATATATATATATATATATATACACACATATATATATGAATTATTCACATGTGTAATTAAATCAGAATTACAATTTATACAGTTTCATATCCTGTTTTTATTTCCCCACCTAATAATATATATGAGCTTTTTTTGCAGTGTATTCAAACAGTCCATAAGGACACATGTGGTCAGCAAAAAATATTTGTAAGTTTAAGAAAGAGGGAGAAAAGAGAAAGATAAACAAAGCTTGACTGAGTGCCTAAAAGTATAAATGAGGGTAAAATCTGTAAAACCCCCTCTACATCCCTTTTTTATTTCCATAGATGCTTCATAAATCAGCTATTTTAATAATAAAACCTTTCTTAGCAGTGTAACATGTATGTCAGATGCTGTCTCCCTATAGTGTGGCTCTAGGAATCATGATTTTATTTATTTTTTTTTTGGAGAGGTTTTTGCTGTAGGGCGCATGTGCTCGCCCGAAAGACAGAGAGAGACAGAGAGATAGAAAGTGAGAAATCAACCCCCAGGGGGCATGGACACACTGCAATACCTTCTACTCCATTCTCTCTCGGGATCTTGGGCACGCATGTATACGCGCCTGGTGTGAGTTTAAGCCACTGGGTCCAGGACTCAAACTGTGGTTCAGCGACATAGCCATTATGCCATATGAGAAAAGTCACATGGGAAGTCTCTGGGACCTGGAATCATGATTTTAGAAACTCAGTTTTCTGTACTATGTATCTATTACCTTCTTTATGTTTTTTAAGATGATACATAAACATATACTATTTTAATAGTTGTTTCTCTAGTATAAATAATGTACTAAAATGGTCTAAAAGACATTAATATCATATTTTCACATGCTGTCACCTTGGAAGAGATTAATGTAACTTTTTTTCTCTCAATAATTAAGCAATATTATGAGATTTTAGGACAACCCTATAATATGCTGCTTTCTTCTAAGTTCAAGACTTAATGATCACAAGATGAAGGACTTAGACAGGAAGAGATATTGTGTTGTAGGAAATGTCATGACACATTTTTTTCTGCGTTAAAATGCACCATGACTTTCCCAACAACCCAATAAACCACAGCCTTGTAACTTAAGACACACAGTGGACATCCTTGGATGAGACAGGTTATCTCACCTGTTTAGTGGAAAAGCTGGATAACTGAAGTCCTCCTTATTTCCCCCAAACCTCTGCCCTGCTCCAGTGTAAAACCCCGGACTCATGCATGAAATCATACCAGACTGCAACCTGTCTACCAGCAGGTAGGCTGCACAGAGAGAGCCCAAAAGGCACTGAGACTGTGTGTTCAGCTTCTGCTTTAAGCTTCCCAATCATATAGAGTCATGCCTGCCATCTCCAGGGGACCTCAGTCATGAATGGGAATAAAGGCTGGGATCTTCATTCGTGCAGAAGTCGCTCCTTACTGACTACAAAGTCAAGCAAAGAGAGATTTATTCCTGACAAGTCTTAATTAAAAGACATCAAGAAAATGTCATTACATAACCCTTGATCTGCAAAGACTAGTTTTCACCCAGAGCTACAAGTCTACTAAAGAAGAGAAAATAGTTGATGCACCTTCCTTTCTTCTGTATCTAGAAAATGCCATTGCTTCAGGTTCCAGAGCATTGCACTGGTCATCTGCTTTCATGGAAGCACTGAGGTCTAAGAAGAAACGAGTCAGAAGTTGGCCTCTGTCCCTGAAAGTTCTCCTTTAGAATTAACAGTGGGCCAAGTTGTCAGGACCTGGCAGCCATACGTGTGTGTGTGTGTGTTACCTGTGGTGAAGTGTTCCATCTGTCACCTCTTATAACCATGAGGGCCCCAAAGCCCTGAGTGTTTGTGTTTGTCCTGCCATAACACACTTCTGTCAGATGCACTGAACTCGTTCAGGGGTTCTTGCTTCCCAGACGACTGTGTTTCATTATTTGCCAGTTGCTGAGCAGAATGTTGACATTTCAGCTCCCAGTGGTTTTTCTTTAGGAAACACAGAAACATAAATGATCGATTCTCTATTTGGCCACCTGCCCAGGAAAGTATGACACAGAGGAGTACAAAATGCCTCTTAGTCTTATAAAAAGCTCATTTGCTTGTGTTAAGCCATACGAGACTAAAAAAAAAGTTTTCTTTTGCTAGAGTCTCTGAAGCTAATACAGTTTCCTGTTTTAGAGTTTTCTTTTAGACTGTGGAGGTTTGAGATGGGTTCTTATTGTATAAGTAACCCATTACCTGTCTCCCAGCAAAGCATCCTCCTCGTCCTCATCATATTTTAATCTACAGTCCCAAAAGCACTTAGATATGTATGATATGTTTTGCTCTTAGGAGCCAGATAGTGGCCTCCCTTTTTTATAAATAAGATGAGATTCTGAGCAATTAAACCCCATAACCTTCATTTAGTCTGTAATAAGCTCAGAATTCAAACCCAGGTCTGGAGACCAGTATTTGACAGGACAGGGCATAGTTTCGCGTTTTATTTTGTATTGTTTTGTATTTCACTTAATTAATCTTTGTGCCCCAACTAGATTTGAAGCTCTTATCAGTAAGGTGCTATCCAATAAACACACATCATTAACCTCAGATGTAGGCAGCTCTCAGGGTCCTTGGACAAATTGGTAGCTGTTGACGCTGTGGGAGAGTGGGCGATCTCCCTCAGTTCCTGGAAGTCCTTAGTGTAGAGCCCTGAGTCTACCAGCCAGGGTCCTGACAGGAGCAGATAGGTCAGAGGACGAACTGCGATGAAGGAGGTCCTTGCAGAGGAAGGCAAGGGTAAGGCCACAGACAGCGGGTGGTGAGACACGCCAAGTCTAGCAGTAGTGGAGAGATCTTATCACTCTGAGGAAGAATATATTTCCTAGGACCCAGGGAGGGGAAGACTGATAAAGTAAGTAGACTTCCTCCCTCACCAAACAAAAATAAAGATCAAGGGGGAGAAGAGAATGGGAAGAAATGCCTGGCTCCTCTCTTATTCTACCCTCTCCCATCTCCTGTGTGTCTTGCATGGTGGAAGCCAGGAGCACAGGGGCTCAGGAGACCAGGGTATGCAGTCTTCAGTCTCCCTCTCTGATCACAAAGCAGGACAGAGAAGAAAATTTGCTTTCCCATATTTAACTAAGAAAAAGGAACTTGGGATACTCTCCCCCCCTCCCCAATTCATATAGCTGATAAGTAGCAGAACTAATAATGTTAATAATGG